GGAGCTTAACACAACAAAGATGAGATATGTGCCTGGATAGATAGTGACTGGATTTATTCAGACTTTTGGAAAATTAAGGCATGGTTCAAACACATACTTCTGTTTTGTTTCCTCCGAGACAGCCAACAGTATAATCATTCCATGCGTTTCAAATAACACAAGAAACTGAGACTGACTCACTGTTTCCCATTTCATTAGCTCAGGACAGGATGCAAAGCCTATAAACACACTCTATGAGTCTTTACATGACATGAAATTACTTGCACAAGTTTGCAAGCCCCCACTGTTTTATATCCCTAGAATGACTGTTTACGGTGTCTCCCTGCCAACTCGCCGTACAGCAGTATGAGGTATGACTTGGGGTAATAGTGTCTTTCCCTCTGTGTCTCTCTCTCTTCTCTACCACTGTAGTTATGCCTAAGCTTCTCTGACCAGTAAGATAGAAATATCAACACATCAGTAACTCACAGATAGAGAGAGTGAACCTAGAAGTGTATCCTTGGAAGGTTTAGATGGATGTTTGTTGGAAAGTAGCATGTTGCAACTCCAAACTTAGAAGCTCACAGAGACAACCACTGGGTGAATGGTCAACAAAAACAGCTACGTTCAGCTTTCAAATACATAATTGAGATCTGAGCAACTCCTGAAGCCAGTAAACCAGAGGAAACTGGTGTCCTTCCATTAAAACATATTGTCTATTAGCTTAGGAAAATAAGGACTGGGCACAAAAATGAGACTACTTGCGGTGATACCTGGGAATCATGAGACTGTGAAATAAATTGTTTGTCAGGCTGGAAATACAGTTTGGGGGAATAGGAGCATGCAACTTGTAAGTACAGCACCCTCTTTCTATGTAATGTTTTGCTAGCAGCAGAATATGGAGTGTACAGTGAGAGACATTCAGAGGTAGCTCTGGAGCATAAATCTGCTGTATCCTTTTGACAATGCTGTGTATTCTGCTGCATGTTTCAAACATAGGACAGCATTTGCAATCTGGCAATCTAGTAGAGTGGCAACTGCTTTTCTTGCAGATATGCTCCTGACTTGTATCAGTTACTAAACAGCTTTGAACTAGTTCCTTCAAGTGTATTTTCACTCCCTGTAGTAAATCAGTAGAGTTCCAGGTATGAAAGAATAGGAAAACCATGCTCTTCAGTAACAGATACCCTTACAGAGTCTGTTGATATGGCAAAAAAAAAAAACCCACAATACTCAAGTCTGATAGCTAGTGCTGCAGTAATTGTATTAGGTCTGGCCTTGAAAATACCTTTCGTAACAACAACAGTACTGAATACGGACTAAATGCATTTTGGTCTTTAGTGCCTACATAAAGGCATCTAGGCTCTTAGAGATTTATTGGAATTTTTCACATTAATGGCTGGCTCCTGAATCAAATCAGTGACATTTAAACATTTCTGTGCTACAAACAAAAAGGGACTATCTTGGTTTCCAGGCACTTAAATACATTTGCAAGTCTGATCTTTAATATTTTTAATATTATTGTGTGCAGAGGCATTTGGGCATTGACATTTCCGTTCCTTGAAATGTTCCAACATTTGCATTAAAAATTCAGAACAAAATATCTACATTTTAAAATGTCCCTCAGCATGAATTTTCAGAGTAACTTCTAGGCATGACCATCAAAATATCTTGTTTTAGCACTGCTATATTGAATTTTTTGGTGTTCTAGTTTATAAATTTTAATATATGAAATAGATTAAAAGAAATACTTTCTAAAACAGTGAAAAAAAGAATGGAAAATATAAACTAAAGAATACATTTCTACACTGTTTACAACTGCATTTTTTTCAATGGAAATTTATTCTGTCTATGGATGTATAACAGGGTAATTAATAGGTAAAAAAATAAAGATTGAGATTAACTTACTCTTCTTCTATCATTCTGCTGTGAGAGTAAAATAGCCATCAGTGAAAGAGATAGTACGCGTCAGTGGAGAAGACTAGTACATTTAGTCAGTGTGTTTGTTCTTTCACTTTAGAAAGTTATCAAAGACTCTGTATCTTTTTGGTTTTGCTTTTGTAAAGATTTTGACAAATTTACCTTTAGCATCCACACACGAAATTGCCTGTAGCCCAAAGCAAGGCAGCGTGGCTGTCCATATTATTTTCTGTTTTCTGCAGTGGTGCTTCAAGAATATTGAGTGATATGTTAAATTTTTACATTCTTTAAATATGAAGGGGATTATTTGAACCTCACAGGAGAACTGTGCAGAAGGAGGCAATGTTTTGCTCCAAGCAGTGTGAACTATGAAAAAAATACATAAATACAGCCTAAGACCAATAAATCTGTAACTGCAAATCCACTGTGGCAATAAATGGTTTCCCTTTAATAATGAAATACCACATTGGCAAAAATAAATATATAATTCAGGCTACCCCAACCATTATTGAAGTACAAAATAACAAAATTTTAAAACAGAAAGTCCTTTCATTCTCTAGCATGCTCTTTGGTCATATTTCAAGTTTTCTTCTGCAACTCTGAGGGCTAAAATATTACTTGAAAAAACATGGAAACTGAGACTGTCACACAGTCACTTGTTCTGAGGCTCTAAGTGAAACTCCAGATATTCCAGAGCTGGCAGTAATACCACAGTTGGCAGCATTGCCGATGACCAAATTTCTCTTTATAAAACAAAGCACACATTGGCACCGAAGCTAAATTTCTTGGTTTGAGAGAAGAAAGAAAAACATTTATTCAATAAAAGAAAACTTATTTGCCAGTAGGGAGGAAAAGAGAATAATTTTTTTTAGTGAACACATAGAGGAATAATCTTTTGCTACAAAGATCTTTGAAAGATCTTAAAAGCGTAATTGTTTTATTTTTTAGGAAAAAAATGTATCTGTTGACAAGAGTTGTGAGCATTTACTTCTTCAGCTGACATTGTGATATGCACATCAAATACTCTTAAATCAGAAGCTGCCACTCAACTTTGGCCATAGCTTTTCTTTCAGTGAGTTATTTGATGTGCTCCCCTTCTATTCCTGTTATTCCTTGCTGTGTGTGCTGCTGCTGTTCATATCACGTTTGATCTAGCCAAAGTTAGCTGCCTTTGATGTAGGTGTTAGGGGGTCTGATAGCAGGGCAGTTTTCTTGATGCTCCAAGGAGGCAGTAAATTACTATAGGTCTCTTTGAGGTACAATGTAAGTTGCCTGACGTTGCAAGGCACAGAGGATTGGCCTTTTCTTTTGCTTTCCTTCCCATCCACTTGCATGAAGTTGGAGAGCTTATTCTGCTTCCACTCTTGTGCCTGTGATATGGGTAACTAGTGCAGGGCTACAACATCTTGTGCCATTCTCCCCTCAGTGTCTTAAAGGTATCCACCACACTCAGCAGCAGCAGCAGCAGCTCACTGGGGACTCCTTGCGATGCTACTGCACATATCAATAGCAGTGAATCAAGTCAAGTACTCTCTTGGATATTCAAATAGTTTCTCTGGATCTCTACAAAATCCAAAGAAAGGTCTCTGTCATCAGGCCTCTTAGATTTTGCAGAAGTTTCACTTCAGTTTACAAAATAATATTTCCTTGTTGAATCATTCTTCAGAATTCATGTTTCAGGTCATGGCTTGGCAGTGCTGCAGATCTAAGGTTAGAGCTCGTCTTACCGCATCGGAAACAGCACTAACCTGGAATGAGTTCACTCTCCAAGTTAAAAATCATCTTTTCTGTTGAAGGCTTTCTGCTGCAGCAGTTACTGCTTTTCTAGGCCACTCTAACTTTATGCCCTATGTTGGTGCAAAACTAGCATAAAAACAGAATGCTGGCACAAAATCCCTACCATATGCTCTGTTCAACTTAACAAAAGTGTCACTGTATGGCCCACCTCTGATCTGAGTCAAATTTGTATTACTGTGTGATCCTTTCCAATGATCATGAATCACAGTCTCACTATGGAGAACCGAGTATTTGCATGTCATGCACCTACTGTTTTGAGTTTCTCCAAATGAAGTGCTAGAATTTTTTTTGTCTGCCGTCAGATTTCTGTTGAGCACCATCTTCTGACACCTGCAATAGGCAGAGGATTTGTCACAGCCTTGAGATGTAAAAACTTTTTTTTTTTTAACTAAACAAAAGCTATTCCATACACAATGCTGATCGGCTACTGTTTTCCTCATCAGGTTAATAAAACAGCAGTTTTGCTGGGAGCACTGTGGCTTAGCTCCTGGGAGTTCCTGTGTGTAAAACCATTTCAGAATGTTACTTCCCCTTATAGTGAGTGACATTCATGAGGAAAAAAGTCTTAAATTACTGCCATAAGTAGCGCTGACTATTTAATAAGTCAGCCTATTTGTGAGGTCAGTTTTTCCTCTTAATCTTTCTGAGAGTTGACAGAGAGGCAGATGAGCAAACATGCTGTACCTTGTTCTCATTGTATTTGAACTCTTGTGTTTAATTGTCATCAGCTGCATAAAATCATTAAGGCACAAAGCATGAGCATATGACAAGATCATGTTTTCATAGCCTCTGACTTTAGAGCTCTACTTGGGTCTCTTCCACATAAGCCACAGAAATGGCTGTGAGAAGAAGAGATATCAAAGTTTCCCAGATCAATGGGGCCTGAGGAGAAGACTGGCTCATTAGACAATCCCTTTGCGAACCTCACTCTGAGGACTGTATTCTTATCACATGGCATAGCAAATTAACACTGCAAGTACCTAAACAGAAAAAGAAATATATGCTTTCTGTTACTAATGGAACAGACCGCAATTAAAGCTACTTGAAACTTTTCAAATTTTAATAATAAAAAAGTCTAGTTTTCATTTAAAAATAATGCTTGCTAAAAAAATATGCACCACCAACCCTAACTCAATGTTATTAATTGAGCGAAAGTGGTTTGATTCTCTCTGGCTTTGATACAGAATGAGACTAGTCTATCCTCAGACTAGCTTTTTTCAGAAACACTCTGTAAATTATAAATGATTGGCTGTTTTATATCAAGTGCAGACCAGAACTTGCATCATGTCTCCATTTTCTTCTAGGACACCAGACTAACCAGCTTGAACTCTCTAACATACCTAGGCCATGCCATCTATCACAAGCAGAGCCCCACCTCTTGGTGTACCATCACACTTGTCCAAACTGGCAGTTTGCAAGGTACGTGCAGGAGAGTTGTGTGTATGGAGATGGAGCATCTTGTGCTCTCATAGGAGCAGGAAGCTTCTCTCTCACGGCAGTAATGATATCGTCATATGTAATTCATTTCAAAAGAGTGTCTTGTGCTGGGACATGGCCTAAAGTTTGGGAAAGGCTGTTGTGGATCTGGCTGCACTATCCCCTTCTGTGTTCGCTGTGTATCCACACAACGTGTCATGGTTGGCTGAAGTCTCTCTGCCCAGAGGTTTGGATCTTGATCAGTCAAGGTTACTGCTTTAATATTGTATGACTAAACTCTATTATATTAAAAACAGATAGCAGAGCCCCTTCCTAAGTGAAGCCAGGAGGTGTGGCATCTCCTCAAAAGAAGTTCAAGGACAGGGGACGATGTAGGCTACTAGGTGGGGCGCAGAGCACTGCTCCTATTCCTGGCTGTGTCCTTTATCTGCTGGGTGATGCTGCGCAAGGCACTTCCTCCCTCCATGCCCGTTTCCCTCAGGTCCTTTCACAGCTATCCTGTGATGGCCAGCTCTCACAGGGAGGCGCTTTCACTGGCTTTAGCATGAAGCAGCTATGATTCTCACCAAAGGCTGCAGCCACCTTATCTAACAGAAGAGCCAGGGTGAGACCTCCTGTTGCTTGTTTTGCCCCTCCATTCCCAGTTGTATTATCTCCCACTACCCAGGCTTTCTCTCTATTAATAAATGTTCCCTTTAAAAGTATCCCCAGATACACAGTATGCAAGTTGTTAATGTATAGCCTATTCTAAAGAGAAATTTGCCTCTGTTCAAAAACTTTCCTGACCTCTTGGCCGAAGAAGAACAAAATAATGTTTTAACAAAAACACAGTTGGCTGCCAAAGAAAAGGAGTTCCTGTAAGGACTGAAACAATAAATCTCCTCCGTACTGAACTCACAGAGGGAGTATGTTGTGTTTCCTCCTGTTCTTTATCAAAGGCACAGTCTCTACACACCTTTTTCCATGGAGTAATTAAGGCCTGCCTCAGAGTGAGAGAGCACTCCCTGCCCAGCTGTGCAAGGGAAAGCTGACACCACCACCACCAAGCATGAAGCTATTGGGGATTGCCTTTTTCCTAGCTGTATGTTGTGTTTGCGCTTTGGAAGGTAAGTTCTTTGGCTTTTTGCAGGGGTAGACTTGTTACCTCTGTAGGGCATTTTTGTGAGCAAAAGCTTAGCTGTCAGTAGCTGGATGGGGTTTTTTTCCCCCCCAGTGCAGTGGCTGAAAGACTGTGTGTTGGAGGAGAAGGAGGTAGTAGTTGATAGCTGAGTTATATGTGACAACTCTTTTTCTAAGTATCATGAATCTTCTCAGTCTGAGAAGTTAAAAACAGAGGTGTATTTACAATGGTTTTCTGTTCTGTTTGTCTTCTTTAAAATAAAACACCTTTTAGAGAGGTATTTTTAAGGGGGAACTGAAAAGTGTGTCAGATTTTGCAAATAGTACTCTTGCAAATCAAATGCAGTATGTGCCTATGGATTTCCTTGGCACTGTGCCAGCAATAAGTTTGGCCAAGGATGTCTCTCAGAAATGAGTTTGGTTTTGGCCCCAAAGTTATAGGGACTTACAGTATTTACCAAGTGTCATGTAATGAGGGATGCAAACCTAGGGGCAATATTAGTTACTTAGTGCAATACCTCTTTAAAGTCATTCTCAGATGCACGGATTTAATCACATTTCATGGTGTTCAGATGGGCACTGAATTGCTGTTTTCATTATTCTTCAGCTTGAAAGATCATGCACTTTTATAGTAGAATTAATTACTAAATCCTGAGAGGGTGAGAGAAAGTGTAACAAGGACCAGAGTCTGTCATCACCTTTGTCAAAACATACATTTGAAGCCAAATCTGCTTTTATCTGCACTTTCATTTGCTGACCATTTAGGCTGAACATTCATAACTAAAGCTCCCAGAAATGCTTGTAGATTGCTTGTAGGTGGGGTTTTTTTTCCTGAATCAGAAGTAGAAAATCTGTAATACTAGATTAATTGAACAGTTAGTGAACTTTTGCACAGATTATGTGTTAAAATCTTTAAAAAAAAAAAAGTATTCCATGGGGTGGCTTATGTTATTGCTTGGGCTCATTGCTGTTAGAAAAAAATCAGTAAAGAAGTTTGAAAATAACGTTGTACAATAGAAGGAACTGCTCTTTTTACTTACTTATTAACACTTACTATGTTAAGTAAGTACAAGCTCTGAAAGTCTATGTTGAGATACTATTTATTCTCTGCCTGCTGCTCCTAGTAAAAATAGTCTTCCTGTCATTGTTAAACCTTTAATTTCTTAATAACAACTTCTGAAAAGCAAGGTGGAGTTGGATCAAAAGGAGGAGGTTCAACAGAACAGTCCATAAATCTTATCAGAAAGCAACATGCAAGCAGGAGGACAATCCTTCCTTTAAAAAAGATTTTTCCCTCCTCTGCATGATGTGAACAGGGCAGAACTGGTGACCCTGAATAAGAAAAGTTCATATAGGTGACGTTTGCTCTGAACAATTTCTGTTCTGTAAAAATAATTTTTAAAAAATGCTTTATTGCAGGGTGGACATGGTCGTGAATTTCTGTTGGTAAAATCAGATTAGAAAAGCAAGACCGTGTATGGGGAAATCTGGATTATGTGTCTCCATCGTCCTCATAAAAGAACATAATCTGGTCAGCTCTCCTTCCTTTTTCTGCACTATTATTAGCAATGAGCAGTCAAAAGCAGGCTACCATGACTTTCCTGGTGTGTCAAAAAACCAAAAATCTTCTGTTAAGATAAAGCAATTTCATTCAGTTTTATTGTTTCTTGTATGAGCCTGGACCAAAGTCTTTAGGTTCTCATTATTTCTGGTCACTAAAGTATCCTGGACATCTAGGCTGTAACAGTGGGATCTTATAATCCGAGGAGAGGGATGGATCCTAAGGAGGCTGACACACATCTCTCTCATGTTGAGTCTCCCTTTTTTGAGCTTTGGAGATGGCAGCAGGACACTCCTCTCTGGCTGCTTAGATGCACTTTTAATGTTTTAAAATTACCCTCAGTAAAATTGAGAGAGGGTCAAATAATAACCAGCATTTTCATGCTGACCTCCAAATCTTTGGGTAGTTTGCTCGGTCTTCACTGTTGTGAAGAAATAAGTAATATATGGGTTTGTAGCCTCTTCACAGAATATACACAAGTGGTCTGTCTTTGAACGTTTTGTAAATCATGTAGAGGTGGACTAGGGTGTTTGTACTGCAGTTTGTAGAGGACATACCAGATCTCCTGCAGGACTTCAGAATTTTATGCCCTGCCTTGGCTGTGCTTTCCTGCTAATTTTCTAATTCATCTTGGGATCTTGCATCCTTGGAAGTCCCTTGCATTTTGGTGTTTATGTGCTCATAGCACACTTCACTTTCCTTCTCACCCCAACACCCAGGTTTCTCTCCTACAGAAGTGATAGCACAAAAGAGTGGGATTGGATTCCTCTTTGCATCAGTCTGGATGTGTTCAGGTTATGTGCTCAAATTTAGGAGCTGGAATGTATTGGTCTCAAGTTTCAGCCGTACCTCATTTGTTAATGTCTGATTAGTGACCCCTGTTGACAGCTAGCAGTACCTTTCCCCAAGAGGGCTCTTGTAGAAATTGATGAGACTGCACACACAAACGGAGACGTTTCATTTTGAAAAGGCGGGAGCAAATCTTTGCATTGAGAGCGTGGTCGGAAAGCCACTGAAGCAGCTGGAATTAACCCTAACTGAGGTGTTTCCCAAATGCCTTCCCCGTTTTGTAGATGTCGTGGAAACTGGGATGTCATCCCCTCCCTATAACATGGCAAAATCAATCCCAGGTCTCAGCCCGATAGCTTGAGAAAAGTTCCACTAAACCCAGGTTTCCTGAGTGATAACGTAGATTTGTAGTTGCTTGAACTCTGTTACCATTGTCAATGTTAACCAGATGAGACAGATAAATAGTCTTTTCCATTTCCATCCTCTGTGCTCTCAGCTCACAATTTTAAAGTGAGATACTAACAAAACCATTTCTGAGCACTTAAAACTTTTGAGCGTGATTTGCCCCCTCATTCTAGGGCATTATTCATGGCTGTGCTCTGGGAGAGGCACAAATGTACAAGATGTCACAATCAAATCCCTGTATCAGCTCTGAAAATTTGAGAAATATGAACAGGCTTTAGATAACCAGCTGCCTTTTTATGCCTTTAGCTTGCTTGAACCCAAACTTTGAATGTCCTGGGAGTTTGTCTGTTGTTAAAAAATGTATCTATCTATCTCAGACGTTTCCACCACTCCTGGCAGTTTGCAAGACCAGCTTTCTCAAAAATCAAATTGCAGTGCTGGAGCTTAACCATAGCCTTTAATTGAGTTCTTGTTCATGTGCAGAGCCTTTTTTCCCTGCTGTCACATTGCTTTAATTCATCATAGCTGCCTCATGTTGGGCCAGTTTTGCCTAGTGGATTTTAAGGGTCTAAATACTACAGGACGAAAGAAAATCATTTGTTCTAGCCCCAAAAACAAATGCAAGTTTACTCTGTTTACTAAAGATAGAAGTAGGTGGCTTGATACTTGCTTGATGAAGAGATTATGATTTACAGCCAAAACAAATAGAAACTGAATCTGAAGGGCAAGTTGTCTGCAGTGTTCAGCATCAAAACTGAGAATACATAGTGTCTTATAACATACCTATCAAATGGTTACCTTGTCTGAAGATTTACCGGAATATTTTTTCTAGTTCAGCTATCTCTTTTGTCTGGGTTAAAGACTAGAGTTATTATTAATCTTTACTGCTTTAAGCTAGGAAAAATGATCCACAGAGGCTTATGCTTCAGTTTGTTTGTTTTTTCTAAATAAGAAAGGAGTAAGAACCTTACATTTGGTCTCCTATCGTCTACATAGCTATCTGTGTCCTGTGTGAAAACCTGAAGAAGCACAAATAAAAAACAGTCTTTAAGAAACTCTCATCCTGGAGGAGAGACAGAAATTTTAACTAGTACTGTTCTGTAGCCAG